AAGAAAGGACTTGTGTCGCTAAAGTTTCGTGGAAACGAAGTTACAGAAAATCAACTAACGAACGGAGACGTAACAATATGTATGGCTTCCTCTTATAAAAACAGCAACTATTACACAAAGCTACAAATCATATTGTATGTCAATCTAACTATATTTAGTAACAGAGATCAATAAGCGTGGAAAACGTACTTACTCTATAGCGAAAGTACAAACTTTAAATAATATAGATGACGTAAAGTTTAGAGTTGGTCACCATCATTTTTGAGAACACTGTTAATATAAATATATGTTCTGTAGTTCGTACAAAATATAGGCAGAAGTAAAAACTTGAATTCACTACTCAGTAAGTAGTGTGAGAAAATAAACAGAGACCAACATTTATAGAATCTCTATATCCTAAGATATGTTTGAACATCAAAACTTACACCTAGTATTAAAAGTACTAACCACCCAATAGGTAACAAATGTTAAACGTCAAGATAACAATTACAGGAGTTGTTATACCCCATCATATGAAAGTTAAACTATGCCTTAATAGCAGGGTTTTTTTGTATTCCTTATCATAGCGAACCACCTAAATATCTCTGTTTTAGTAAAAGGAAACGTCATATCAGACAGTATTGCCGTGTGTTTTATACAATAACGATCTTTGTGTTTCATCTATGAAGTACGTTAACTGCGATTATCGAAAATAACATACAATAATTATTATTCTGGCAAATTTAAAGGATCTGATGTTTCGTTAGAGAAACAAGTTAAATGTGTTATTGTTAAGATTGTGATTGAACAAGATTTAGATAACACAGATTTTATAAATGTCGTGAAGGTGTTTTTCTGTACGTTTGTGCGTTCCGCCATCTAACGTCGTGCTTTGTACTTATGTTTTGTCGTATGGTCTAAAACAATCCTCAATATGATCAGTTGATAATATATCATGATAAAGATTTTAAAAAATTAACACCTTTTGCACCATGGCACTAGCAAGTAGTGACATTGATAGCAAAAATAAAACTATAGTTTTCGATATAATGTTTAATATTTATTAAATTCACGTCCATCGAAGTTGCGAGACTACTTTCTATTTTTCACTTTCTTAAAAAATAGGGAGATGAGTGTGTTCGTGGTTTGTAAATAGTTCATCCTAGGTGTTTGTATTGTTCTAAACTACACTTCAATCACAGTTGATATTGACTCAACTATAAAAGACACCAAAAACATTATGAGATAAATAGCCTTCTATTTTTATTTTACGTTAA